AGGACTTGGGCATCTGCTTAAATTGTTCATGAAAAAAAATTAAACTAATTGGACCCAAAATTTGGGGGCAAAAATTCATCCCACTCTGTCAAATCCAACTCTCCTTGAGCTCTTACTGAACAGCATCCTTTTTCTTCATATGGCAATTCTGCCTGAATTCCAACCAGAAACAAGAATGTTCATTAAATAATAATAATTGCAAAAGAAGTTGATAGTTATGGAGCAATTCTATGCATGTCTAACCAGAAGAAAATCCCTCCAGTATTTTTAAGTAAATCTGTACAGGAGTGTAGCCATAGCAAATCTACCTCTTAGTCCCAAAGTCGACAACTAAAATCAATCTGAAAGAAATCAATAGATGGGAGGAAACAGTGGTTTTTTGTTTGGTTAAGTAAACAATCTATTTTTAAGAATTTCCTCTATTATGTAGATCTGTATGGAAGTTTAAAACTGACCCCCAAAATATAGAAAAGCATACATTCATTTTTTAAAAATGGAAATTTTGGTTACTTAGCATACTCAGCATAATCAGCCTATTCATATCACTGTCTTCTATACATCATCAGTAAGAATTCGATGTGTAGTTTACACACGCTTATACATATACACAATCACCAATGTCTGCATATGTATAGATCAAATATTTATAAGACACATGTTCAGATATGTATCTGTTCTTGATATATACAGAGTTTATGTAAACACACACACATATTTGTGTGTATATATATATGTAATGTGCATGTATATATATATATATATTAGTGTATGTGTGTGTATTTATATATTTATATTTGTAGCATAGGGAAGAAAGACTTTCTCTTTAATAATAAATGTGATTGTCATATTTGCTCAATGTAGAATGTTAGCTGACACTGTAAGCATGACAAATATATGCTATACACAATATTAAAACCTTTCTTTCCTCTGGGTATGTACATGTGTGTGCATGTATATACACATATATGTATGTGTGTATGTGTATACACACACATACACATTTGCGTGCGCGTGCACCCACACACACACACACACATTATATATTATATATTTGCAGGTTCACATTTACAGCACAATCCAAGTTTTAGCCACACTGTACAGAATGCTGGCTGTATAGAACATTTGGTCCTTTAAAAAGGATATGTGGTTATGCTACTGCACACTACATTATAACACAGTACTTTTAATTACTCTATTATTCTTTTCCAGAAAGGAAAAAAAAGGATACCATTTGGTAAAAAAATTACATCCATTTTGGTATACAGTTCTTCAGCGGTCATACAATACACATGCTTTTTTTCAGACTAAAGCCCTCTTCTTCTTTTTTAGATTTTTTATCCCGCCTTTCTTATTTTTATAAATAACTGAAGGCGGCGACCATACCTAATATTCCTTCCTCCTCCTATTTTCCCCACAACAACAACCCTGTGAAGTGAGTTGGGCTGAGAGAGAGAGTGACTGGCCCAAAGTCCCCCAGCCAGCTTTCATGCCTAAGGCAGGACTTGAACTCAGAGTCTCCTGGTTTCTAGCCTGGGGCCTTAACCACTAGACCAAACTGGCTCTCCAAAGTGATACCTTTTAATGAAGATGTTCTCCACACTAACCCTGCTCTGGAAATGTCATCCCTAGTTCACTGACTTCTGACTGATAATCCAGCTGTTATCAAATTCAGGCAGTCTCTGAACTTCCATATATTTTCAGTTTTGATTTGTAGCAATTCTACACCCCTAAAACACAAATACAACACCAATTTGTTTGGTGTGGAAAGTCAAAGTGCTATTAAAGCTCCTCAGCACACCTGTTTTTAAACTAATTTCTTGTTTATAAGCCCTACCTGTTTTATGGGTTCCCTGTTGATCAAGGCTGAAAGATTAATGATAAATATCCTCTTAATTACTCCTTGAATAGCCTTTCTTAATGACCTCATGTCAGCTTCTATTTCCACTGATGAGGAAAGCCTTCACCACAACCTCCTTTGTGGGGTTTATTGGTTGTATTTATTTTGAATAACGAAATTACGTTTCCTTACTAAAAAATAAATTTCCTTACTAAAGAAAGAAGTGAAACAATCATTAAAGCTTCTCATTCTCCAGCAGAAGAGAGAAACTGATGGGACATGCAGAGAGGGAGGTTTTAAAGAACATTGGCAAAGGGCTTGCTCAGCATCACTACTTTTCACTAAATATTACAGACTACAGAAAGATCTGGGATATAGAGAAGAACAGAGCTGAAAATCCACTACCATCAGAGGTGTGAGTAGCTTCCCTTTTAATTCTGTTTCTTTCCACTGGTCATAAAAATTAGGGAACTCTGTCAAAAGAATTGAACTTTTTCAGAAATTATGAAGGACCATAGTCCATGGAAAGATGTGCTTTTTGGTAACCTCTGACACTTCAAATTTCATTTCCTCTCTATATTTTTTTACTTTATTGGATATGAACTAGAGCAGCTTTTCCCAATCTGTCACCCTTCATCTTTTTCAAGACTGCAGCTTACAGAATTCCCAGTTAGATACGTATGGGAATTGCAGTTCCAGAATAACTGGAGGGGATCAAGCTTGAGAAGATCAAACTGGAATGTCACTGTATAAATAAAATTAGTTCTTAAGTCAGTAGGCAAAAATGAATGTTTGGTATTTTTCTTTTTTTGTTTTAATGTATTATTTTTCAGCCATCATGAACTAATCTTTAAAGTCTATTTCATATTAATCATCCTGACATTTAAAGAAAATCCTGTTCAAACCTTATTTAGGAACTAATATATACGTGTGTGTGTACATA